GCAGACCCAGGTCCCTGGCCCCATAGCTCTGGCAGCTGGAGGCCCACTCTGGCATGGCTGGGGGAGGCAGGGGGTTGTGGGTGAGGAGTTAGGAGCACTGGCAGGGCTGGAGAGGTGGGGCGGGAGAAGCCTGGACCTGCATCCTGGTGAGCAAAGGGGACAGGGGGAGCTCTGGTTTCCCATGATAAGAAACCCAAAAATCAAACGCCAAAATTTATAGGTATTTTGAATTTATTTTATTACAGTGACTGAGGCACTGATAGGCTTCCAACTTGCTTTAAAATTGTAAATATATCAATAAAACATTCTTTTCAGCTGACACCTATATATACAGTGGCATTTCGTTTTAATCGCAGATTTGGGGGATTTTTTAAATCAGAGATTTTGCAATTTTTTTCAAAGAATTTGTGATTTTTCAAAAAAGAAAACCAGGATCCCTGAATAAGACAAAAAGCACAGGGTTGCTGAACTCTTTCATTGATAGTCTTCTCCTGTTTTACCTTCCATGGTAACACACAAGCAAAATCTGTTCATTAGTAAAAAAACTCCTTTTCAGACAGACATACACTAGAGCTTTCAATATATATTTTTTCTGCCCAGTGAGAATGTCAACTATTTTTTGTAACAGTGGAAACATGTTTGTTATGAAGGACCATGGGCTTTTCCCACAATGGAAAATTATTTTGATATGCTGATTAAAGGGTGACATAAAATTAAATCAGTACAAACAGGGATAGGGGCACAAATTTAAAAGATCTAACAAGTAAGAATACATGAGTACTTTTGCTGTTGTGGTTGGTGTGGGAGAGTTGAGAGTAGACGGTAAAAGTTTTGTTTGCTTGCAAAATAAAATTGTTCAGGTAACTGACTGTCACAATGAAAACATAATTAAAAAAACTTTTTAAATTTCTGTAGTTTTACCAATGAAAGTTTGAATTTAACCATATGAAAACCATTTTACGTTTTAATCACCTTAATAATAATCAAAGAAGGAAATCAGACACTATTGATTGGACTAAATATATAATTTGGCCTTTACCTTTTAAAGATAAAGGACCAGATTTTGAGAGGAAATAGGCACCTAACCCAAACTGGCCATCAGCTTCCAGATAGCTCTAATAACCAGTGCTGAATTACACTGATAATTCAGAATAATTCAGCCCCAAGCCCTCCTCCAAGCTCCAAGAGGTTTTTAACCTTCTGCTTGCCAAATAGTGTTCACATTCATCCAATTTATCAAAAAATGTCTTCTCTGAAAATGTCATTACAAGTCAGAACTTATTTAAAATAAAGCATAGGAGCTGACTTGCCTTGCAGCTGAATTGAAATTTTAGTTAGAAAGATTTCACAGAGAAACACATCTATACTACCACAGTAAAAAAGAGTTTCAGCATATACACTGTATTACATTGAAAGCAATATGGTGAAACTTGGTGGAATTAAATAAATTTTCTTGAATAAAGATCCCCCTAATGGAAGCATTAAACCACTGCAGCAACCTTTCATTGCCTGCATAAATGGGTAGAATGAAAATTCTCTGTCTAAAGAGCTCAGGGTTGATCTAATTAAGTCCTGTTTTAGGTACTTAACTGCTTAAGTGGAGCTTAGAGGCTTACATCTGAAATTGCAACTCAAAAACCCAGGTCAACTGCTATCTAATTCTGAACACAGCTGAACTCAGCAGATACCTTTCTGTTTGATTTTAAAATATATTAGGGAACTAAAAGTCCCCATACCAAGAACTGTTCAAGACCACTGCTTAAACTTGACCAAGAACCAAAACATAGAAGTTACTTGGTCTTAGCCCTCTGAAGCAGCCAAATCTGATACAAATACTTAAATAATGTAATGCCTACCCTAACCAACAGAACTAGGTTCCTCGCACAGTATAGTGGCAGCCAATTTATTTGATAAGATGGCTAGCAGTGGTAATGGTGCTGATAGGAATGCCCACCTTTTCATGATGGACAAGTGGCTAGAGCAGTAGTTTTCAACAATTCCAATTCTGTGGTCCACCTCCAAACCTCTGTACAGCCCCATGGCTGAACTTCCCTGCACCCCTCCAATCCCAGCCTACAACATCTAACCTCCCCCAGTTCCCAACTCACCTCCAACACTCAGTCATTCCCCCTAACCACCAGCCACCCCACATTCCCAACACCAACCAGTTCTTTGCACATTACCTGAAGCACCAAGAGTGACATAAGTGCATTTGCACAGTGCTGCACCAGAATTAATTAGCCCCACCTTGCAGCAGAGCTAATCAGTCTATCAGAAGAATTAAAATAAGGGATTATGCTGTTTCCTGTGCCAGGGCACACATGGAGCAGCATGGTGCCTGGAAAATTTGGCTGATGTTCCCCTCCAAGAGCTGTCCTTATGACCCACTTGCAGGATGAAGCCCACCAGTTGGGAACCACTGGCTAGAGCAGCAGTCCAACTGGTGCTCTGTAGGCTGCACGTGGGGTTAAACTGGCTTCTCAGGCTCCCACCTGGCTGCTGCTTCTGCCATTGCTACGGGTGCAGCAGCACTTGAGGGCTCCTGCTCCCTCTAGCTTCCCCTTCCTGTCCCCATTTCTGCCCCAGGGTGGTGCAGGACAGCACATCCTGCAATGCTAGGGGAGCCTACAGCCCAAGGTATCTGAGTGGCATGGTGCAATAGGGGAGCTAGTGGCTAGGAAGCTAAGTGCAAGTCAGGATGCCCAGGTGCCTGGTGCATTGGGGAAGTACACTGCATCATGCGGTACAGTGGCAGTGCCTGTGATGCAGCTGGGGAGCACTCAGGTGCATGGTGCAAAGGTGGGGGGTGGTGCACAGTGCAGCAGTGAGGTGCCTGGGCATGCAGTGCATAGCAGGAAAGGAGGTGCATGCAGAACCTAGGACTCATGGTCCCCCCGTTGATGTGGCCCTTGCTAGTAGTGTGCCTTGAGGGGCATGCAGCCCTAAGCCACTTAGAAATTGGACAGCCCTGGGCTAGAGAATTCACCTAGATAGTGGGAGCTCATTATTAAATTTTCACTTTAACATGGGGAATGTCAAACCTACATCTACTTTACATTAAACAGTTGCTAGTCACAACACAAAACAGTCCCGAACAGTCCTTGGAACGAAACCAAGGACTCCTTCCACCTGAGGAAATGCCCTAGCCACAATCCTGCTAAAATACAATCATGCTGCCCATCTTTGGTCTAATAAATCTTAAACTGTTTTTCGCTGCACAGGAGAACAATTTCAATAGAAGGCATGGAGACTGCTGTTATTCCAGCCCTCCCCTCCCCCCAGCTTAATCTACAGGCAGTTGTTAGGGCACTTTTACAAGAGGTGGGAGATAGGAGTATGAGATGCCTCTGGCTGAAAAGGCAATTAAACCAAGGTCTCACAGTGAGTTGACCAGTGGTCTGGTAACTGAGCTATTACAGAATACAACAGGCACCTCCAATTCCAGTAGCACATTTTAAAAGAAGAGAGAAAATCCTGCCTTCCTTGCTACAAAAAACCCACCTTCAAGAGAAGATCCCAGGCTGTGGATCCTAAGTGATCAGAGGTGCCTTTCTGAAGGCCTGAATTAGGCGTTCAAGCTCTAAAGAGAACAGGGTTTAAGACACCCTGTAATCAGGATTTCCTACTGGAAAAGTCTCGCTGGGTACCGGTATATTGCCTGGTTTGGATTCCATACTGAGGTGACTTAACTTTCCCCATGTCCCAGAGTTAAATATTTCACTCTGTGGACCAGAAGCCTAAAACTTAAGCACCTAACTCCTTTATTGGATCTTCCTCCTAGCTCTTACACATGGGTATGGGCAACAGAAATCTGTCTTCTAACAGCTAAATTACAAATCCACCTGTTCAACAGAGAACTTGTGGATGGGTAGAATGTTCTCCAGCCTATAGCATGGTATTTTGCAAGTTTTCTTGCCTCAATTGTTATTTTTCTTTTTACAAAAATACGTGTCCAAACTTTAAATAACTCTATTTTATGTTATTAACATAACCATGATAGTACAGTAAACTGTTCCATGATGCCTCATAAATGCATCTGAAATCATATCAAAATATATGAAGGTACAGTGATATTTTCTGCAGCCTGCACAAGCTTCCTATGTCACTTCAGCACATGCCTTTTATACCATTTCTAATTACTTGACCTCAGACTCATTATTCTTGCAACATAATGCCCTACAGGTAAAATTAATGTGATTGTGAATGAGGAAGGAGTGTGAAGTAATATTTCATTCACTGGAGAATTTGGATTCCATGCAGTGAACAAGATTAAAGAAAAATAAGGCAAGAGCAGACAGGGCTCTTGTTTCTTTCACTGTGATGGATATCAAGTATTGATTGTATTAGCCACAGTACCATAAACTGAACGATGAAAATTAAAAAAGCAGAAAATCCCTCCATAATCACAACAGTTTTCAATCTAAAGAGTGGTTCTATAACACATGGAATTTTTAAGATTTGGGAGCTTGGTTCAAGAATGTTAGCATTCTTTAATTATTATGGGAAAAAGACAGATAACATTGCTAACACCACCACTGTCATGAATGAAGTTTAGCTGAAAGTAAAAGCAAAGCTGGAGGCCATCTTCACAATAAATATGTCCATATATGACTGTTCCTAAATTCATAAAAACCAAACAGTGAAGTTAAATTCTCTCAAACATTTCTTCAACAGGAATTACACCTTTTCTAAAGGACGAAAGGAGAGAAATCAGTGGAAATGGCAAAACTAACCAAATATAAATTTCTATGTCTCCCATATTACTTCAGAAAAGCAGGTGAATTTAGGAGCTAATTTAGGAGTTAATGATAGAGCCCTCCAAAAGCAAAACTCCCATGGGGTTCTTCTATACCCACTTGATACAGATAGATCATGATTTAGACAATAAAAGCAGGGTCCAGTTTCAAAGTAACAAAACAAATGATAATCAGGTTGTTTCCAAATGGTATAAAAATCACCACACACATGACTAGTAGTTATTTACGAGGTTAAACACCTACCATTCTGCCACTGGTTTAGCAATATTTTCAAAAATGTCATCTTGCTTTGTCTCCTGATCAAAAATTTTCTGAAATCTGCAAATAAGAAACCAATATTGATCACGCAGGCTATTTAAACACTACTTGAATCATGTATTTTGTTTTTCTGTTTGTAAATAGTCAATGTTTACATCATTGGGCTTACACAATGTAGTACAATGTTTTCCCTGTAGTCTAATCACAGTGTGCTGCTGTGTTATTGTATACAAATAGATTGTAAATACAAAGTACTTCTTTGACAAGAGCTGTACAATAAAATCCTCTGATAAAATGATGTCGTTTAGGGGCGAAAATAAACTGTATTTTTACAGCTATCAAAGGAAACAGTGTTTGGAACTGGCAACACATAGAAAACTAGACAAATAAATTACAGAGCATTAAAAAAGTACATTCAGATTCCCAACCGTTGCATGATGGTAAAGCAACTAAAACTTATTGTAATCAATATTAACAATTTTTTAAAAAAATCAAAGCATTTATTTGTTTTATCTGGCATTAAGGTTACGAAACACTACACAGGACGCATAAAAAAGAAGACAATGTCCCTGTCTCAAAGTTCATACAGTATACAGTGCTTCACTCAAATACAATATATTTGGAACCATTGAGAGGTGTTGCAACACATGCCGCTATCCTGAAAACCATTATTCATCTGAGCACTTCTATGGATTTTGTCTGATATCAGTTATGCCACCCATAGCAGAATAGGATTGCAGGATAAGAGCCAAAGGTGACGAGGTATAGAGGCATAGGGAAGAAAACTGAGTTTTAAGAAGAAGGTATTTGCCAAATAGTTTCTTTCATATGCATAGTTTTATTGTAAGAGACTGGGAGAAAGAAAATATCCATAGAGATCACCATGCTCAACATTTATTAGAATGCTTTTTTACAGACTCTTACAAGAATGATGAAGTCAGAGAAAACGTCAGAATCCATTACAGCTGGCTTGGACATCTGTAATCTAAGTTGATGTTGCACATTACTCTAGTGAAGAGGACTACTCTTTAGTCCCAAAAGAGAAAGGGTTTAATTAGAGTGCATGCAATGACATCAGTCTGAACTACAGATGTTTATTTATCTGGAGCACTATTCGACAGGGGCAAAGAACAATCAAACCCAAGGTTTAAAGATTGTATTGTTATTTAAAAAAGAAAATAGTAAATTCTTAACTTTGAAAGCGAGAGACGCTCCAAACATTCATAAACAGTTTATGTTTACTTCTTTGCTTATATGCACAACAGATAAGGGCATACATTCCTTACTACATGATTTGTCACTACCAGTCTTAATTTGTTGCTTATTGCTTAAATTGCAATAAACTCTGTTTATCAGCATGTTGGTTAAATAAGTAAACTAAGTGCTTAGCATCTTTCAACCTCACTCCCTAATCTTGAACTAACAGCAGGCTTTACCTACATCAAAGAAGAAGTTGTCAAATGGCAACTATTAGGAACCTTGAAAATGACAGGAGCTTACTGGATTTCGTGGCTGCTATCTCTTCCCACTTTCAAGGCTTCTAATAGCTTCTCTGAAACCATTAGTTTTAAAATGAGAGGTACTAATCAGTTTTAGGGTTGCTACTATCACAGCACTGACAAAATGGTGTGCTTAAGGCGAATTGTTTCCATTCAGTACCCCAACCGTATACAATAGCAGTAGCAAGTGCCGTCCTGCAGACAGGGTTCTGACATTTTACCTCAAAGTTATCCAACAACTGCACAAGAAAGACAAATTTGGCTATCAATTTCTTTCAGATTTATAGTGAAATTATAGATTTCATAGATGTTAGGGCTGGAAAGGACCTTGAAGATCATCAAGTCCAGCCCCCTGCCCAGGGGCAGGAAGTCACCTAGGGAATGCAGTGCAATAGGCTGTAGCACTAGACAATTCCTATTATTAAAAGTTCTGTATGAAAACTATTACTAAATATATCAAATAGACAAATAATCAGACAGACTATTACTAAATATATCAAATAAAATGCACAAAAAAAAAAATCGAAGGAAAGGCAACTTACTTGAACTTGTAACTCTCTCGCTTATTATTGACAAATCCATCTGCCAAATCACGTGGCACAATAATCTCTAAACTGGATGCGGATCTATCTTCTTCAATGGAATAAATCTACAAAATGCAGATAAGGATTAACCATGGAGGCTTCACCAGAGGAACAGGGGCTTGGGCCCCATTCCCTTGATTTACCCAAACTGCATCTTCTCGCTCAGGTGCCAGGTAGGGATTTCAGGGAATGTCGTGGCTTCTGCGGTTGGTCCACCTCTGACCAACCAGAATCCCATGGCTATCAAAACGAGAGCACAGGGACCTTTCCTAGCTGGGTAAAGCAATCAATTTCCTTCCACCCATTCCACCAGTGGGTTTCACAATTTTTAGACTTGAGGCACCCCTTGTTTCAGTGAAGGTGCCCTTCCATCACTTGTGTGAACCGAGCAGCACCCCATTCCAACAACGATATATTTAAAGGGGCTGCTGCATGGCAGTGGGGGAAATCTCTGAAGGCTTCTCATGGTTGAACCTCCTTTGAGAGGGGCTGGGCAACAGGGGGGCCAGTGGCCAGGCAGCAATGGCCTGTAAACTCGTACACCCGCTTCTCCCTCCGTGCAGAGGCTCCCTTAAAAAGGATCTCCTAGCACCTCAGGATGCCCTGGCTAAGAACCACCATGCTATACCTTCACCAGACACAAGATGACATACACACATGCATGCGCACCTACACAGGCACACATGCAAACATGCACCCTCATGCACACACGTGCAGATCCGCACAAAGGTGCACACATCCGTGCACCCGTGCAAGCCAGTACACATGCCCATGTGCACCTCCATGCACATGTGCACACACAGAGATATGCACGGGTGCACACGCACAGACATGCACATGTATGTACATGCACATGCACATGCAGACACGCACGCCTGCACGCACGGGAACTGCACGCACAGTTGCACACGCGCGGGCCACCCGCGAGGGCACAAGAAGCCGCCTGCGCAAGCCCCCCTCGCCCCCCGGCGTGCCCGCAGCCCTTGGGGCGCCTACCCCCGCCCGCTGCCGCCGCGCCAGCGGCTTCACCCGGGCGTAGATGGGGATGGCCTGCTTTCCCATCGCGAGTCTGGTTGCGGGGGGGGCGCTAGGCCCCGCATAGCAACGGTAACCACGGGACGCGACCTAGCATGCACCGCGCCTCGAGGGGACAGGAGAGTGGCGTTCGGCGCGCTGCGCGTGCGCAGTCAGAGGAGAACGAAGGGGGCTGGAATATGGCCCTGCTTCCTGGGCACGTCTGCTGTCCCTGTCTTGCAGCACGGAGGGCAGTGGCGCTGCCCCAGCCCCTGGCTGTGTCGGGGCGGGCTGCAGAGGGGTAGAGGGCAATGCCCTGGCAGGTGCAAGGAGTCGTGCTGCGTTGCCAGCTGGCCTGCCACCTCTCCTGCGACCTGGTGTTGCTCCCAGGTCGTGGGGCTGTTTATATGACAGCCTCCGCTTTCCTTCGCAGCACAAGCCTCTTCTACCTGGAGTTGCAGAGAAAGACTGGAAGCAGAGCTCTACAGGTCAGAAAGAGAAAGGCTCAGTCTAACGCCAACCAAGAGTCACCCCTGAGTTTAGGACAGTGGTTTTCAAACTTTTTTGTACCAGGACCCATTTGTTAACAATGGCCAGACCTGACCCAGTGCCCTCACTCACAACTAGGGTGGCTAACACAGAGGACATTCCAGTTTTCTGCTCTTCTGTCCTCTATTAATACGAAACCTGACGCTTTTATGTCCTGTTTTTGTCTTCAAGAGAAAAATAGAGGATGTAAAGGGGTCCGGTTTTGTATCAATAGAGGACACAGGACAACTAGACTGTCCTCTATGATGGCCACCCTACTCCCAATCCACTGTCCCCCACTCCTAGGCCCCTGCTACCCGGTGTGGGGCAGGGGGTGGGTGTACAGGGCATGAGGGGCTCCAAGCAGCCCCTTGCAAGCTGGAGCTCTGCTAGCCTGCAAGGGAAAAGCCACGGTTTCCCATGTTTTGTTTTGTTTTTTCCTTTAAAGAAGAATCTAATTTTAAAGTTTGTTCACAACCCTTTCATATTATTGTTACGACCCTATTTTGGGTCCCAACCCACAGGTTGAGAAATGCTGGAGGACATCACTCATGTTTTGTTTTGTTTTGTTTTGTTTTGTTTTTTAAAATGCCTGGAGTTGCTAATCCTGCAGCCACTATGGTACCTAGTGTTGAAAATGATAGTTTCTAGTGTCTGCCAGAGGCACACCAATTTGATTTATATGCCACCCTCCCCGTGAAAGCTCAGGGGGATGTAAGGACTGAAGAGTAATTAGGTAAACAAGGGCAATAAGATACCTCAGTGTAATAAAGTAAGCCAGAGTTAATGGTATTCTGTAAGATTTTGCTATAGATCTGGTCAGATTGGTTACTTACACTAGCAGTCTCTTAGAGGAAGGAAGCAGTATATTGTAGTACTTAGATTTGTAGCCCCTATTAAAGTGTAAAGTACAACTGACACCTGTAAAGACTGAGCAACTATCCAAAAGGGACTTGGAAAAGCTACAAGTATAGTTGTGTAATTACACTGGTTGCAGAATTATACAAGTTAATGGGGGCAATGTAATCAATTGACTCAGATGGAAAACATTACTGATTTCTTAGAGAAACAAATTAAAGCTGAGTTTGCAAAGCAAAGAAAAAGACAACAAATGCAATTTTAGGCTGTTACATAAAAGAGCATTATGACAGGAAGGGGATTAAGAATAGGAGTCACCTGAGAAAAAAATTGGTGATAGTTTGATCTGTGATAACTATGAAGTTGTCTCTGCAGGATATTACAACCAAGCTGTGGTTATTTAAAATATCTCAGTTTGCGGAGGCAATGGAATAGAACTCAGGATCCTGCAGTTTGGATCGGGAGGATTTTATCACTTAAGCTAAAAGAATTTATTTTAGCTGTTAGCCCTATGGGACACATTAAGCAGAGTTGGGCAAATTAAATTCTTATGTTATTCGAGCATGGCCGTATGCAAGTGTAAGAATTTTATATTGTGTCCATCAGTCTTGTGTCTACGTACGATAGCATTCCTAAACCATGGACAGAAGAACAGGATACCCCAGGACAACAGCTGCCACAAGAGCTATGATGAAATAAAGCAACACCTTGAACTGAAATAAGTTTGCCATAAACTGAGTAGTTTACCCTGGATTGGAACTATAGTAAGTTTGTTTTTTTCTGAACTGTGTAGTTTTTTCTTGATAGAGCTTTTAGTTTAGTATGCACAGCTAAACTAAATGTGATGGAGTTATGTTCATCCTTCATCCTTATGACAGATTCTATACTGATACTTGCTGCAAGAGGTTTGACTAGGTAAATTGCATTGGTTGTGGTGTAGTATGTGATGCGATAGTCATACTTAATGAAATAATCACATTTGGATATTAGCTATCTCTTGTATAACAATAATATTTAAGGAGTGTTCCCTAAAAACTCAATTCATAAATGATAGGCAAATGCCAAGATAGTATAACTAAAAAACACACACTGGGAAAAAGGAAAAAAACCACACTCATGCGCACACATTCAGGAGCAACTGGGTAGTGGCCAACTGAATGATGAAGTATATACAAGACATCATTGACACTAGAGTTTCCAGCCAGACACTTCAGCTATTTCACATTTCCAAATGTTTCCCTTCCAGGGTGACCCAAAATAATTCAAAACCAATTATTTCCAGAGAAATGTTTATTAACCCATGGAAACATCTGGAACAGACTTAAAAATTCTGAGTTTCATCTAGAGACAGAATAAAGAGTTCCATTTGCTGTTTCTAAATGAAGGTGAAGCCAGTTGGATGCTACATATTAATAGATAGGGATCTCTGTTATTAGAGAGATGGACTAATACCAGAAATTGTGTCAATGGTTATTTCATTTCCCAGCTACAGATTGAAGAACAAATGCTACTAATAATGGTAGAGCCCAGTTATTGCTGAGTACAATAGCTAATATTTCTTCACCAAATATACACTAAAATAACAAGAGGTGATACTGTTTCAGACTTAGTTTTAAGTAAGGAGTACATTGTGAAAGAGATGATCATAGAAAATAGTCTTGGTAAGTGATTCTGACTTGAGTTAGTTTGGTTAAAATAAACGATAAAGGTCTGTAACAAGGATTCTTAATTCCAGAAAGGCAACCTTTGATAAAAGGAGCTAGTTAGTGAAGTCAGCTGGGTTGAGGGACTCACAGACTTGTAGAGGATGCCTAGAATTTCATGAATCAAAAGTGTTGTAAAACTACCTGGAACTTTATCCCAAGAAAAGGCTAGCCAAAGATGGCTCCAGACCAAACCAAGTGGGGAAATACATGAAATAAAGAACATTAAGAATAATTAGAGAGCCTCCAGTGAATAAAAATGAGAAAATATTGATCAGCAAACCAAGTTATCTTCAAGGTCAAGAAGTGTGGGATACAATGAGTACTGCTAAAAGAGTGGCTGAGTTAGACCTTGTAAAGGAGTGTAAAACATATATGAAAGGCTTCTTCAGTCAAATAGATAACAAGAGAAAGAAGAAGTAGGGCGTCTATGTAGTGAGGATGGAGAAGAGATTAAAAATAATCTACCATAGTTGGATCCCAAAAGCTAAATGAAAACATTGCCTCAGTTTTCAATAAAGACCATGATACTGAACATAGGGATGGAGGCAGAATGGCTAGTGGCAATGAAGGAATAGAAATGAAGGTACCACACTGCAGCAGGGCGCAAAACTGAGAAGAGCTTAATGCCTTCATGTCAGGCAGAACAAGTAACCTCCATCTCGGAAGTCAGAAAAAATTGGCTCATGAAATCACACATCCAGTAGCAATTATTTAAAACAAAAATTATCAGTTGGGTGTGATACCATATGACTGAAGAGAAGCAAATACAGTAATTGTATTTAAAGAGAAATTGATTGAGACATTTACCAGCCTTTTTGGTCTAATCTCAGTAGTTTGTAAGGCTTTAAAGCCAATATTGAAGGAAAGGCTAATTAGAAATAGGGAAGTGAGTGGAAAATGGAATGAAGCACAATGTAGATTTATCAAAGATAAATTGTGGACGACTAGCCTGATGTCTTTGAAAAGATAACTGGTTTTCTAGGCAAAGAAAGTACAATAATACATCTTATCTCTGGCAAATTCAGTAAAGCATCTCACCTAGTACCACAAGGGCATTATCTAATATCAAAGTGATAGGGATTAGAAGAAGAATTGAGAGACAAATAAAGAACTGACTAATGGAACAATGTTGAAAGGGGGAATGCTGAGCTAAAGGAAATTACTAGTGGAGTTCCTCAGGGGTGACTCTTGGGACCAGTCCTGTTTAATAGTTTTATTAGTGACATTGGCACAAAAAGTAGAACAGTGACAATGAAAATTGCTGATGACACTACAGCGAGAGGCATCTTCTATATAATGCCGCACTATCATACGGGAAGAACTGCTTCTGAGTCCTAGTGTAATAGAAATGGAATGAAGTTATCCCTGTATAGGGGAAATAGATAGCTTATCATACAAAACAAAAATAACTTGGCTTATTTAGGTTAGCCAAATAAAGGCTGAGAGAGATATAAATGTTTTATGTGTAGGAGTAGTGGTGGTTGTAGTAAACTCTTAAGGAAGGAAAAGAACTATTACACTAAAAGGATTATGTTAGCACAACACATATTTATGAAGAGCCATTCATAAATGGAAACTAAAATTAGAAGGTGGTTTGTAACCACCTGAGAGATTTTTGGATAACCTTCCAACAAGTTTTATGCTGTCAGCATTGACTGGGCTGCAAGCAGTCACTCAGTGAAGTACCATAAGAAGGCTGGGGGTCATACCAGGTATCAGTCTTCAGACCCAAGAGTTGAAGCAGTATCATCATCAGGGAGGAAAGCAGTTCAGAGCTGGGAGGCCCAAACAGGCAGGACAAAAGTTCAAAGAACATGCACACCCACACACACTGTTGCTGGGACAAGTTGTATGGGAAGTAGGAGGGGTTTTATAGATCTCCTGTCAAGGGCTCACAGTGCTTATAGGCTTCCCCTGGTCACCTGACTCCTCATTAATATCCTCATGAGAGGAACCAGGCTGGAATGAACATTATGTCTGATCAGCTGTATAGTGGTGCTAAAGACCCAGTCTCTGTCTGCTGGCCTAGCCACCCTGGGTTCAGATCCCTGTGATCTTAACATACACTATCCTATCAGGTCCCTTCTAGTCCTATTTTCAGATCTTTTTAAAGTAAGCATTATCATCAATTTCCATAATGACATTTGGAATAAAAACCATCCGTATGTAGTGTTAAGTGTTAGTGTCAAAGATAAATTATTCTTCCATTTTAAGTTTGTGACTTTCTTTATTTTGAAAAATCATCAAGATTTCTATGATGCCTGGAAGCATTCAATTTTACATGTTTTACAAGGCAAATTCCATAGAACAGCACGGCGTTCTTGTGAAAAGGACTAGTAGTAATTTCCAGGTGGTCCTCATGGGGTCTTTTACCAAGAACATTGCCTTATAGGAAATTACCTGGTGAAATTCTATGGCTTGTGCTATACACAGGAGATCAGGCTAGATAATGAAAAAAGCCTCATATGGGTCTAGAATCAATAATTCTCCACTTCCTGGCATTCTTATGTTGTCATTAGTATCTGGACACTTTTAGCACCTTATTAGACAGCATTTTATTCTCAAACATAGGTCTAAATGACATCTCAGCAGGGGAATCAGAATGTTTCCTGGTATGGGAAACAGTAACAGGGACCTGTTACTTGTGACTATTGCAAAGTCAGCATTTAGGAATAGAATCTGAGGTGAGGGACCCCCACCATTTAAAAAGGTACAATACCTCAAGCTTTAGACATAGAGCAGTGTCATGGGATGGGGTCTTGAAGGATAGCCGTGATCTCCCCAAGGCCCCTTTACAGTGCCAAGTTGGCCCAATGGGCACCCTCTGTTCTTGCCCACCATGTCTTTGATGGAATGGTTAATAGGGAGGCTGCCTTTAAGTCCTCTTGGGCATGGTTTTGATTGATTCTCTGGACCCTGTGGGTTCCCGGAACCCTGGTGTGTCCCAATTCAAAACAGATGCTACGATGGATGTTTCGGGGCACCCTAGCCTTATGGGCTATGCGTGGCTCCAACCATCCCTTTACCACACCCCAAGCCCCACAGATGGTACTGACGTTGTCCGGTCTGGTCCTTGTAATTTGGCCCCCTTGTCCTCCCTAGGCTCTCCACAGTCCTGTCTCGCTCTGCACCCTCACTGGCGCCAGGGCCTGTGCACTCTAAGTGCTGCGCCCTCACTGGTGCCGGGGTCCCTACACTGCCATGAGCTCCCAATGAGGCCTCCTCCTTCCCCTAATAGCCTCACCCAAACCACCAGTCTTATACAACAGCAAACAAAATACAAGCCCCTGGGCTATGACGTAAATTCAAGTCACCTGGCTATAACATCATTCAAGCTACACTGAGGGTACTCCGTCCCTCAACAGTATCAGAAGCTGCACCTGCAGTCAGGCCTCTCCCCTTTGCTTGCTTCAGGAGAGCTCCTTCTCCCTTGGCTGCTAACAGGGAACTGCTATCCTAGCCCCAGCCCTGGGGTTTATATATGAGCCAGGCCCTGCCCCTTCTGGTCAGCTGACCGCTGGCAGGTGTGGGCCACTAGCTCATTCTGGCTGCCCTGGTAACCAGCAGCTGGGGCTTCCAACTCGCTGCTAGGGCTCTTCCCCTAGCAGTTTCAGCTCTTTAAAGGAGAATGGCACCCTAGTGCCCTGTGACAAGCAGTAAGTGGAGAGCTGTCTCTCTCCATAGAATTCTTTACAGAGGAGTTATGTATAGGTTCAGGTGAGTACTGTAATCATAGACATTAGGAGAAGAGAGAGGTAGTAAACTACATTAGTAGGATGTTAGCCAAAAGGCAGCATAGGGTGGCATCTTATAAGCTAACTCAGGCTTGAACCTGCTCACCCCTACATTAGTAAAAATATTTTAAACACTTCTTCATCACTTAAAAAACTCTTTTTTTCCAAGAAAAACATTTACATATAACATCACATTTGTGCATGGTATTTATAGAAAATAATGACACATTCTGCATCCAGAAAAACTGGGAGAGCTAGGTCTATACATCTAATCATACTACCAATTTAACTATCATATTAGACACGTGATGCACTTCACTTTAA